CTCCCCCTGTGGCGGAAGGGGCCGGCGGGGGGGGGGGGCCCAGGCCAGGGCGGGGCCGCTGCCCCGAGGCCATTTTGTTCCGTGAGGGGGCTGAGCGCAGGGGGTTTGGGGGTGGTTTTGGTGTCCGCGGCTCCTCCCTGTGGGGGTTAAGTATAGCGCAGGGATTAGTGATGCGCGGAAGGGAGCGGGTCTTGGCTCCGCTGTTTGCCTGCCAGAGCTGGTCGGCACAAGCAGGGGTAATTTGGTGGCCGCCAGTGGTTCAGTCTGAGTGTCTGTCTGTTTCCTCTGGGCTTTGTGACTGGAAAAGTTCCAGGTTGAAGGCTGTGGCTGGTTTTTTTAAAAAAAAAAATTCTGAATAAGCTTGTTATTGGTCATACCTGCTTGGGAGGTTAAGCTGTGGGAAGTGTTGCCTATGGCTCATCCATGAGCCTCCACCTAAAGGTTTTCATCACGGGCAGTTACGTGACGGCACGTGTTGGCTGTAGCTGCTGTACGTGCTCTCCCTGGAGAGCTTTCTGAGGGGGGAAAAAATTTCTAACCCAGTGGTTCAGGTGTGGCCTTCAGTGGTGCAAGCACCCCCATGTGAGCGCTGGGATCCTGCTCAGCGATGCTTCGATGCTTTGTTGACTTTTTAAACTTTGTCACTGTTGCTAGTTACTTTGTCATTATCATTTTGAAAGGAAAAAAAATCAAGGTTGTGCAGCATGCAGGACTTTGTCCTACAATCCCAGAGCAGTTATTTTTTTCACAGATGCCTGAACACCAGCTATTACTGGATTTTTGCGTGCGTTTGTGATCTTTCCACATGATGCCTGAAGAATAGTGAAGATACAGATTCAACAATGCAAATTCAGTAAATTGTGTTATTTCTAGTGTATAATTGAAGAATTGCTAACAATACAAAAACCACAAAGAAATTTCTAGCTTCCCACATGACAATCCTGCAAGAGCTAGGGTCTTGCTAATTTAAATCAAACTTGTGCAAAGTGTGTGAAATTTTCAGCATAGCCCTTACTTTTTACAATTTGTGTTTTTTTTTCTCGTGTCAGTGATCACTGCTTGGCGATACAACAATGATACTGGTGAAGACCTTGCCTGTGCTGCACAAAGGAAAGAAAAAGAGGAAAAGCCACATGATAGTGTTGCTATACTGCTCTTACTATCCACCCACTGCTTTCTGGCAAGTAAATAAGCCAGAAATGCCAAGCTTTGGCCTTATAATACTTTTGTAGTTTTTTCGGGACTTTCTCAACGTCAACAGCTGTCGAGGGAAAAACCTGCAGCTAGCACAGGTGCTGGTGGATCAAGACTAAAAAACAGATGCCGTACAAAAAAAGAGAATGCAAGATTACATGGAGCTTGTTTGCTTTATGTCTGGTCATGTCCATAAGTACTGTCCCACTTTCAGAGGCGCCGTTATGGTATCGAGGCAGTACTGAGAGGTCTGGGAGCTGAAGGCCCCATTTCTCTGGGCATTGCACAGTGCATAAGTGAGGCAAATCCACCCTCAAGTGGTTTACGTTCACCCTTAAAATATAGAACTATACCTAACAAAAAAGGCTTTCCAAGTGTTGTCCTGACTGTTGCAGCCTGTTTTGCTTTACTTGTAGTGCCACCTTGTGGGCTTTTTGTGGGCTTTTTTTTGGTTGTTTTTTTTTTTTAAATAACTAATGAGTATTCAGCATCTGTTGCCTGACCTGGTTTGCAGTCACAGGTGTTGGTGTAGTTGTGTTTTTGAATAGTCCTCTCACTATCAAATGGTCTTGTGCTCCTCACATAAATACCAGATTTGAATAATATTTGGCAATAAGTAATGCTTATCCTAAATCCTAAGATGTTAACCAGGTGCTGCTTTTCAACTTGATGTGGTTAAAAATGAATCTACCCTCTAATGAGTACGACAGAGATAGAATCAAGAATTCTGGATATAAGTCCCTGTTCCTCTAGTGATTCCCTTTGTGGCCTTGTGCAATTATTTAACCTCATTTCCACATTTCTACAGCTACGAATTAAGGGTAGCAGTCTTTCAGTACCTTACAAGAAAGTCGTTTAGAGAGCACAAGGGAATTCAAATTCAAAATGTCAGATGAATAATAAGTCTCTTTTTTATTATTAATGTTGCAGTTGTAGTAAAGAAACTTGTACTCCTTTGAGATGAAAAATGCCATATATGCGAGGTTTGTGCTTGAAAAGTTTAAATGAAAATTTAAGATATTTCTGTTTCTCTGATAGAAACACTAGTTCTGTCTCCTAATGCTACAATATAGTCCATTGATATTCAACCAGCAAACAGAACGCCGTTACGTTCGTGTTTCAAGTATGAACTGCAACTCTATTATTAATATTTTGATGGTAAAAGCAAAAGGGTGCCATATCTTCTCTCACTGGCTATGTTATAAGTCATTCTAATCAAAACCAAATATTGAACTATGGTAGGCACAAGTGGAAAGAAAAATGCCAGAATATCTCTGTGAATATTCTAGCTGTGACCTTTCAAGCCAGTTATCAGGAAATAACCAAATCAAAACAAAAAATGTTAATTTAGCTGCAGAAATGTTACTGAACTATTCAGTAATGAAGACAAACTTATTATTCAGCCTCGTGCCCTTCAGAAAAAATCTCAGATAAGACCGCTGACCCTTAATATGCTGTCTGTTGTAGGAAGATGTCTATTGTAAAATTAAGGGACTGATCCTTGTATGTAGAACAATAAAAATTACTCCCTCTAAAAGGATTATTGAGACTGGGGATCATCTGCAGCCTGGATCCACTGTGGACTGAGGGCAATAAAGACTGTAAATAAGTACTTGAATCCAGAAAGTTTAAATCCCATCTAGTGAAATATAGGGGGGGGGGGGTGCGCAGGATTTTACCTCCCTTGAATTTAAGCACTGCTAAGATGGTGAATCTATACATTCAGAATTTTAGTGCAAACATTTTAAGAAATCTCTTTGGAGAGAGAATGTGTAATATCTACTTTCTGCCTGGCTTCTCCATAAATCTGGCAGAAAATCAGAGTACAAAGTATGATTTTGTATTGTAAAGAGGACTGTCTGATTCTTACAGCTTTTTGCTAACTAATTTGAAAGGTACGTTTTGTAACCATCTTGTTGCCTGGAGTACGTTGTCTCTGTGTTGGAAATCTAATAGTTATAGCCACAGGGCTCTGAAGAGAGCTAATTAGAGCAATTTAGAATAACAAAAGTTCCGTTCCTGGGAGTACACTGAAGAGATCCTGCTCCAAAGCAGCATGCCACCGTTTCAGAGAAAATTTATTATAATGTTCCTTTATAAGTCATCTGGCGTCCCAAGGATTTACAAATCTGGCTGTCTATTATGGTGTGCTCTCTTAGGCCCCGTGTTATCAGAGGCACTCATGAATGTTCAGTAACGTTCCTGGGGTTATAAAAATGGAAAAATTCTGTCAGTCAAGCATCATCCATCTTATCTTAAGGGAAGCTACTAGTTCCCAGTCGGAACCAAGCTGTTCAAGGCACAGAATCAGTCTTCTGTTGTGCTGATGTGGCTTTCTGCCTCGAGACAATGTTATTGACCCTCGAGGGAAGGGTTTTTGAATCAATTGTGATTCTCATGAACTCTTAGTGAGGCACCGTTTATTTTATTAATATTAAAAAAAAGTTGTTTGTTGTCTTTCAACTACCAGAACAACTTTTTTGGAATTGGAGGTCAGCTGTGTTGGCTGGATCTCCCCCCTCTCCCCTTTGTCACATTCATATTCACCAGGAAGACAGCAGTTGTCCACATCCTCCATTTTGTACAAAGGCTAGCAGTGGAAGTACTGTAATAGGAATGATATTATGACATTCAGGGCTACGTTTTTCTTTCTTTCTTTCTTAATGTTTCTTTAAGATTTGGTGACTTAGTAGCTGTGGGTCCATTTTTCCTGCCCTTGTGCATAAGCGATTCCTGTTAGTCAAAGGGAGTGTTGTTTGGTGAGAGACTGCCAAGCCAGGTGCTAGGCAAATGGGCTGCCAGTAGCACTGTAAAATCCTGAGACCTGGCTATTTATTGCTCGAGTGTGACTTGTGCAAATGTTTCTCCCTTTTTATGTATTTCTTCTGATGACTGACAGGATGTCGAGTCGCACAGCTGGTTGGGCTGGTGCACGGAGCTCTGTTTAGGCCGGATGTTTTAGTGCTGTGACTTGTAGTTCAGCCTCATAAGCCTGCTTTTTTTTGTGCATCAAACTGACTAGCAAAGGGGGAATGCTCACACTGCTGATGTTACGCAAGGATGTCAGAGAGCTGTGAACAGAAGAGGCATACAGCAAAATTTAGAAAGGTTATCTTCTGCTTTTATTTAGCTCCTATAGAAACCAAGCAGGAGCTTTTAATTGTGTTTCTCTGCATTCTTACATGAGCGGGTGAATATTCCTCTGGGACCCTTGCTGTG